CATGTTGATTATTCCTGATATCCTTCTTTTCCTCCAGCTGCTTAGAGATGACATCCAGAATGAGCTGCTCAATGGCTTTTCCAGGGATGGAAGTGAGGCTGACTGGCCTGTAGTTCCCTGGGTCTTCCTTGATGCCCTTTCTGAAGACAGGAGTGATAAAGGTTACTACTTCTGCTTTCCCTTTCACTGAGTTGCTGAAGTAATTCTAGGTCTTCCTTTCCTCTTTCACCCTTCTCTCTCTACTCTTCACCCACCCCACTTCGTTACGTCATTCTCTCTTCACAGTCTGTTGGGCTAAGAAACCTTAACCCAGAAACAAAACCCTCTTCACTGAGCTTGCTCATCCTAACAAAGGTTTCTAATATTATTGGCTGCATAGTACCTCTGTTGGAAGGCTGCTAGCTGTTTCCACACCTTACTCCAGGTTCCTCTGTAGTGAGAGTAGTAGTAATTTGTGCCAGAGCTTAGCACTAGTGACTAAAGCACAAGAAGACTTAGGCCACATGAATTGTACTTTAACGTTTGCTTTTATCTACGGAAAGGTAATGGTAGACAAGGAAGTATAAGTAAAACTTCAACTACAGGATATTCTGTAACAAAAGATAAGGAAATGTCTCAAGACACAGACAAAAAGGGTGCATGGAGGCTGCGGGAGCAAATCAGGAGAAGACCCCAGACTCTGCAAACAGAATTGGATAAGCATCAGGAAATCAAGCAACCTATAGAGACTATAAAATCCAGTAACAAATTGACAGGCAGGGTCCCTCTTCAGAAGCACCCAGCTCAAGTTGTAACTAACTGCTGTGGCATATTAAACATAGTGGAAGAAGGAACTCAATTCTTTTATTACAGTGGAACCTAGGGGCAAGCCCTGTTGAGGTGGCATCTGCATAATTCCTACCATGGTCTAGGTGGAGACTGCATAATTCCTACACCACCTCTCTCACCATCCAAGCTGTAGCCTCAGCTGCAACTTTTTTGTTGACTACAACTAATAACAGTGATAATGATAAATGTACTCCAAATGACCAAGCAACTGACCTGGAGAGGAGCCAGACCTCTCCAATGATAAGGGTATCTCACTTATTCAGTATGGAAATAGCTGAAGATGGGATCCAGTGAAGAAACAAATTAACGTAAGAAAGATCTAAAGAGCAACAGTTCTCACCTTTGTCAAGTCCCATTAAAACCTGCATATGCATGCGCCTCTGTGTGTGTGTGTGTGCACAGGTGTGCGCGCGCACAAGTGAGCACAAATCCAAAAACCTGAGAATGTTATCAGAAGCGGAAAGAAACCAACGGTACCTGTCTTTGTTAAGACACATAAGTTAGTGCAAGAGATACAAAGAAACAAAGTATTTATTGTTAAAAGCTTTTCTACTAATCACTCGGCATCATACAATGAAGATACGGTGGCTACAGAGTAGAGGGGGGCATCTCTCTCCCCCCCCCTCCCCTTTATACACATATTTGCTCACTCTCACAAACCCACAGGTGTATTTTTTTAATGGAGTTCCTTTCTTCAATGAGATTGGAAAAGGTGTTTATCATACAGGATCTGGCAGAACAGATACATCCTATTAAACAACAGAGCAGTTACAGAAAGGAGACCTCTTTCTTCAGGAAAAAAAGAGCTTTCTTTACCCCTTCATCTCTCTGCACTGCCATAAAAGGGTTCTCAACACAGAAGCAGGCCAAAAAACACCAATACCTGACTAGCATTTTGGCAAGATAAAGAGCCCTAGGATATGCATCAATATTGATATATGCACCAATATTTTCACTCAGCTTCCACGGGATAAATTCTAAACAATGTGGTGTAAAAAACCTGCCAGCTCAAATAATGTCTGCACTACAACTACCAACCCTGCCTAAGTCAAACAACCGAATCCCTGTTGGTAACAGCGGAAAATGTTTTGACAATGTGTCTCAACATTATTTGCAGAACATTTGGTTCTGTCCTGCACGCCCATTTCCCAGGCTACACAGAAGTCAAGACTGGGTCTCTCCCACACGGTCTCTACAGGTATACATACACATGTGCACACAAAATACACCGACTCACATGGACCGTGCCATTTCCAACAGTACTCTGCACATTATCCCGTGCTATGTCTTACTGACACTTCAGTGGCACTCTGCTCCATCGTTTTCTTTCTTTTTCCACTGCTGTATTCTTCTCTCTATTCCATAATCAAACATTTGTTTTCCCTTTAATTTCTAAGAAACACTTGGTCTGAATCCTGATTCATGGCCAACAGCACAAAGGACTAAAAAGAGTGTTTCAAATCTGCCATGTTAACACTTCAGCTCCAAGATGTATTTCCCTCCTATTGGTACTCCAGAATTCTGTTTCAACCCTGTACTAGTTTGATGCTATATTCTCTAACAATCTGTATTATCCTCTATACATTAACTACTTCTATGCACAGATGGTTTTTGCAGTACGCACAGCTTGTATTGTACTGTGGCAGCAACTGAAGACGCCAAAACATCTTCTTGTCATCTTTTATAGAGACAAAAAGACAACCATCCTGAACTTAAAATGAATTTATCATTCATGATCTGCCACAATTACATGCCCGTTGAGTACCACTGCCTTTCATTTTCATATGCCCAAGCAGCATTGGGTCCAGTTCCTCCCAGTATCGTTCCATTATTTCTCTTCAAATATAATTTCTCTCTTTTTGCAAATAAGCAAGCTCCTGGCTGCACTCCTGGAACAGAGGACAAAATTTCTCTCTGTGTCTCTTCAGTAAAAGGCCTGAACTGCTTCTGAACACAGGAAAAAAGCATCAAAATCTCAAACCCCAGTTTAACCAAAGAGACGAGACCTGACAGCTATTCCTAAGACTCGCTGTTGGTGACCAGTCTTTTTATGTGCAGTAGGAATATGGACAGTGGAATGTAAGAATTTAGACTTTGGATTGCCATCTTCAGTGCCATCTACAGCAGCTGATTCATGCATGTGCATGTATGTGCGCACACACACACACACACACAAACTTCAGTATAGCACTGGTGCTTAACATAGGTTCACCTTCCAGTGATGCTGTTGGGAACATTGGGCAGCAACATCACATTAGTTTCGCTAAGTTGCTCTGAAAGAGACTTGGAAACAAATCCATCCAATTAATTCTACAGAGAGATTCTAAAAGCACGCTGGACTCTATTATGTTGCCAGCTGTGGCACATAACTGAAATTTCTCTGGACAAATATTTGCCACTTCAATGGGAAAGTTCTCAAAAAACAGAATTCCCTGGCAGACATCCTGCAAGCATCTATCCCAGTCCCATGCCCTTCTCACATCCTTGCCTATCTTTCTCTGCATTTCTTATTCCTGGAGACTGATTGCATCCCCTGAATGTAGCTGCTCTGTTCACCACATACAGAAAAGAGTTTTATACACTGGACAGCATGCACACAACTGACACAGCAGCGTAATAAATATGGAAGCACAGTAGCAGATGACCCCCGCTGTTTTCCCTCATAATGCTTGCTTGTAGTCCAATTAGTGGAGTTCTAAAGTAAGTAAGATTTCAAGTCATTCACTGTCTGGCAGCCTCACAGCCCCTCACTGTACTCAGTTAAAGACTGCAGGATTTCACGTTTTACTGTAAAAAGAGGTTTTAACACAAAAAAAGTTCCACACGAAGCCATTACTGGTAAAAGGCCTCAGGCAAAAAGGTACAGCTATGCTTTTTCCCACACCAATGGTTTTGCATGACGGTACTGCCATCAAATATAAATTTTCCAAGACATCTCTGAACAGAATGGACAGAGTGAAAGCTATGGCGATATTAATGTGAAAGCAGAGGTATTAAATAAATGGGTGGAAGAGAAGACTATCTCTTCTGTGACTGGACAGAAGAAACTTTTAAGTTCAACTAAGAAAGAAATTGGCAAAGATAGCTGAAAAGGACAATACTACAGCAAAACACATTATTCAGAAGAGCTGCCTCCCTTCCGTACCACATGTGAATTTGATTCTCTTTCCAAGAAAGTGAAAGAAAGGAGATGCAAAGGAGTAACCTAAAAAAGAATTTTGACTGCCACGTCATCTGGACAAATAGTTATACTTTGGCAGCTGCTTTTTGGACTAGAAATCATGTTGGGCCATTAATTACAAACTAATCTATGCACTACAAAAAATGAGAGGAGGTAAGGATTTAATTAAGACATCCCTGCTTCCAAGTAAATATGGTATAAATTCCCATAGTCTGAATCTGTCGTACATTTACAAAGAAGATGGTTTCCAAGGGATACGTTCTCTGTGCTATTTAAGGCTGATAGTGCTTTATAACTCAAGAGCATCCTATATAACCAGTACGTATCATGTACGGGGGAACTAAATAATTCATAGTAAGAGGCAGTTCACCGATCATCAAAATGTGAGACCATTCCAAGGACTCTGTTAACATCTTGAAGTAAAGAGAAAATTGCCCCATTATATGAAGTTAAGCTTCTTGGAATCTGCACCAATTTAACAATTAGAGAAGTTTTTCTCACTGCTGATCCCTACTGGCACACAGAGAAACATTTAAGAAATCTCGTATTTTACATATATGCTTATTGTTAGTATCTTCTGTGTTCAAGGCAGGTATCAGCAAAGCACCTTTACTTTAATTTTCTCAGAATGCCTCATTTCTTGCTTCAACCTCAGCTTTGCTAACACGTCTGATATTAAGGATGCCCAAGAAGCTCTCCTCCTGGGGATAATTCTCTTTCTTTCAGTACAGCACATTGATCATACTCATCTAAAAATACATAATTCAGTCTACCTTTCACTGCAGGGGAAAAAAAGAATTATTAGAGTTTGCAGAAGAGATGTCCTGACTATACTTCTTTCTTCCAGAGGGGCTCTTCATTCCAGGAATGAAAATCCTCCTAGTTTGTTCTTTCACATGGTGAGATGGCTTTTTGCACTGCTCCAGCTGGAATAAAAACTCTATTCAGGAATATAAAGCATTCCACAGCTATAAAAAAGACTATCTTGTCTAATTGCAGAGAAGTTACTATTCGAGATTCTTAGGTAACATAGGATGAGAACTGCATTTATTTCTCTAAATCTGTAGTCTCCTATAACACCTATCACAACCTCCCCCATCAATACCACCCATGATTCTATGCATAGCCCATTAGGATTTGCTGTTTAGTGTCTGAACTTTCCACTAAAACTTAATGATGCATGTTGATGAATGAACCTTTAATCTTCTTTAACACTGACACTTGTATGGCGCTGTCTCTGGCCTGGAATGGTTTGAGACATCCCCCCATGGGCAATATTTTCAAGGGTCACTCTAAAGCTGGTGTTCTGACTGGTGTGTTGATGGTGCATTTTCATCCAGTCAGGAAGCAGGTCCATGTGTAACAGTGAGCTAAGTAACACTGAAAAGTCCACTGGTTTGGTGGTCGTGATGCCAACAGGATCTTGTAAGCAGTACTTATGTGTTGCGCACTCCCAGAGATTGTTCCAGTTCCTGCCGGCGCTGCTGGATCTGAAAGAAAAAGAGAAAAACTGTACAGTTCAGCAGATTCAATTGTTTAGTGGCAGGAAAATTCATTTATAAGCCAGTAGTGTGGATAATTCCTTCATACCTTGCAGTAGAAATATCTGCTCACGGCCTCTTGAGACCACGGCTCATGATAAAATTCAGCTCTGCGTTCTTCCTCTGGGTTTCCAACTACATCAGTCATCACCTGTGAAAAAAAAACCCAAACATTTTTCACTATAGCTATTTGACCACATAGAGAAACATTCAGATTTACCTAGAGTCAAAACTTATCTACGTTACTACATTAAAAATGTTTCAGGACTGTTCTCTAAGCCCACAGCAAATGGACAATGAATGGCATGTGTGCTTACTACCAGAACAAGATGGTTGCATACAACCTGTCAATTGTGAACAGCTCCTAACCTCTGCTCCTCAGCTGTGCCAAGGAATCATTCTAGACACCAGTAGTTGCCCAGCCTAAGTGCCATGATCTCTAACAATTTAACAGCATGGACAGTTTAGTTCCAGTGCCCAGGAGAAGTTCCCTAGCGCTGCATATTTCATCAGCCTATGTATCCAAAGAACCTCAGTAGTTACCCATACACAGGGTAACAGCTTGAAATTGTCAAGGTATTCACATCAGATTGAAGCACAACTCTATACCAGTGTTGCCCTTACCTCAAAACACCTCTTACCTTGATTTCAAGGAAAAGTTCTGATGGGGAAAGCATTAAGGAAAAATAGCTCTATTGCAATGTGAGGAACAGAAAACCCTAGTAATTCCAAAATGGCCAAAATCCTGAGCTGATTTTTCAGTCTCTACGCAACTGCCAAGAAAGCAAGATTTGAAAAAAAAAACCCACAGTAAGTTGTTTAAGGAATTGGTGGATGAGATCACCTGGAAAACTGCCCTTAGGGACAAAGGAGCTGAACAGAGCTGACAGCTCTTTAAGGCCATTTTACTTAGAGTGAAAGAGCTCTAAACTCCTGTGTGCAAGGAACTGGGCAAGGAAGGCAAGAGACTGGCATGGCTCAGTAAGGACCTCCTGGTCAAAGAAAGCAAGAAGGAAATGCACAGGCAGCGGAACCAGGGACATGTATCTTGGGAAGAATACAGGGATGCTGCCTGGATGGTCTCAGGAAAGCTAAGGCACAGCTGGAGCTGAATTTGGCAAAGAATGCAAAGAATAATAAGAAGGGCTTTTACAGGTACATTGGCCAGAGAAGGAAGATTAAAGAAAATGTACCCCTCCACAGTAAATAAGACAGGAGAGCTGGTGACAAGCAATATGGAGAAGGCTAAGTTGATTAACAACTTTTTTTGCTTCAGTTTTCAATAGTAATCTCTCTTTCGACATCTCTCAAGCCCCTGAATCTCAAGGGGGAAAGAAGTCCCTCCCATTGTAGGAGAAGATCAGGTCTGAGACCATCTGAGGAATCTGAACACACACAGGTCCATGGGACCTGACAAAATGTATGCCAGGGTCCTGAGGGAACTGGCTGATGTAGTCACCAAGCCACTCTCCAACATACTTGAAAAGTCATGGCAGTCAGGTGAAGTTCCCAGTAACTGGAAAAGGGGAAACATCACACCCATTTTAAAAAAGGGTAAAAAGGAGGACCCTGGGAACTACCGACCAGTCAGCCTCACCTCTGTGCCCAGTAAGATTATGAAACAGATCCTCCTTGAAGACATGTCAGAACACATGGAAGGCAGGGGGGTGATAGAGACAGCCAACGCGGCTTCATCAAAGGCAACTGTGCGTGACTAAACTAGTGGCCTTCTACAATGCATAACAGAAGAGCAACTCATGTTATCACCTGGGTCAGGTCAATCCTCAGTATCGATACAGATAGAAGAATGAATGGAGAGTGGCCCTGCAGAGAAGGATTTGGGGATACTGCTGGACAAAAAATTAGATACGACCCAGCCATGTGTGCTCACAGCCCAGAAAGCCAGTTGTATCCTGAGTTACATCCAAAGCAGCGGGGCCAGTAGGTTGAGGGAGGGAGGGCATTCTGCCCCTCTACTCTGCTCTTGTGAGATCCCAGCTGGAGCACTGCATGCAGCTCTGGGGTCCACAGTACCAGAAGGACATGGACCTGTTGGAGCGGGTTCAAAGGAGGCCGCGAAATTGATCCAAGGGCTGGAGCACCTCTCCTATGAAGAAAAGATGAAAGAGTTGGGGTTGTTCAGCCTGGAGAAGAGAAGGCTCCAGGCAGAACTTACTGTGTCCTTCAGTACTTAAAGGGGGCTTATAAGAGAGATGGAGAGAGACTTTTTACCAAGGCCTGTAGTGAGAGGACAAGGGGCAATGGTTTTAAACTAAAAGACAGTACGTTTAGATTAGAAATAAGGAAGACATTTCTTACGATGAGGGTGGTGAGGTCCTGGCACAGGTTACCCAGAGAAGCTGTGGATGCCCCACTCTTGGAAGTGTTGAAGGCCAGGTTGGATGGGGCTTTGAGCAACCTGGTCTGCTGGAAGGTGTCCCTGCCCATGGCAGGGGAGTTGGAGTGGATGATCTTTGAAGATCCCTTCCAACCCAAACGATTCTACGATTCTATAAAAAAATAAAATTCTGGCGACTAAGTCTCCAGCATCACAGAATCAAGGGTAAATATAAAATTATTAGCATCTTTTTGCAGAGTAGTATTGTGCAATTACAATTCTGATGCCAGCAGGGCAGAACATTATAGAAAAGACCCTTATGGGACTGGTTGTCAGTCAAGGAGAACCCTGAACAACTGTTCTTCCACAACACCGTAGTTTGTAAGCTCCTCAAGCTAAAGGCTGCTTTATTTAAACATTCTTTCAGATGCCTGCCCCCTTTTGAATATGACATAAATAGTAATAATCACAATCTTAACAGTAGATTTTTGGAAGACTATTGACTAACAAACTAGACATTTATATTTGAAAGACACAATGATTTTATTAAAATAATTTAATGGATTCATTAATACAACTGTTTTTGAGGCATCCGCGTTAAAGACACAAATGTGAAACTATGAGGAACAAATTATTCATTTTTGCTGGCAAACAACTGAACTTCTTAACGTTCCATTTCTTGAGTATCTCAAAGCCAAGCTCAAAAGCAGCTGATATTTAATCTGCCTACTGCTTAAACAGAGATTAAATTATGAACTACAAAACACACAAATTGTGTTATTGTACTATAGGATGCTCCTGCTGAGTTTTATATAGCTTTAATTTTACAGAGTACACCAACACAGCCCTGCACTTCTATGTTGCTGTCCGACCACAAATTCACCTACAACCTCCATTAAGCACCGCTGTTCCACTGGAAGTAGAATACAGCCTAAACTGTCTTTCCTGCATACTGTCTGCTGCAGGACTGCAGGCTTCCACTCATTGTCTTCCACTAATTTTCCATCCTGGATGTTTTAGCTATACACTCTATATACATTTAGATAAAATTCTTATGTTCTGGTTCCACTACTGATTCTTCTTCAAACCTTAGCTCACCTTAAGATCCCTACTTTGGGACCGGAGAAGGTCTTGGATGTATCCTTTGGGATCTTTGGAGAAACTCAGCATGAAATCACGTTGTATTTTTAACTGATTTATGGATTCAATTGTCTCATGAATCTGACAGAAGAAAACAAAGTAGGTGTTACTTAATTCCTTCCATGCTCCAGTGACCCTGAGGTCAGCCCCATTAGCATCTTTGTACTTCTTGCAATGTACAAAGGTGACAATTCTACACCGCAGACTTGTGCAGGTTCCCATGGCTTTTTCCCTTCAAAGATGGAGTTTACTGCAATTCTGGTTTCACTTGTACTTCCGCACTACAAGTATGTACAGGATTCTCCTTCAGTTCTTGCGTTGAACTGATGGATGGCATGCTATATACAGTACTGAAGAGCTAAGCCATGTCATTGTACAATGCAATAATTTCCTGTGTATAATCAGTCTTTCCGCCAAGTCTGGGATTTTTCAGGAAAGGTGCTATACAAATATGTCTCTAAACAGTGCCCAATGCAAGAAAACAGTTATTCCCCTGGTTAATCATCACTGTATCTTCAATACCCTGCTGTGATCCTTAAAATTTCTAGTGATTGCCTGATCAACTCCGTGTTAAATGAACTCACATAACAGCCATGACTTCTAGACTTTTTCTTATGAGAAAGCCTATTAAAGTCATAATGGATGCAAAAAGAAGAGGCGTGTGAACAATGAGAAATCAGGAGTATGGAAGGTTTCTAGAAAATGAGTCATATCTTCAGAAACACTGTGAAAGAAATAAGCATTAACCAGCAGGGAAGAATGAAGACTCCGAAGAGAAGTCAATGTCTTATAATCATCCTGGATAACAAAATCAAATATGATCAATGGGAGGACAGGTAATGAATCAATTGCACATACACACACAGAAAAGCAAACTTTTGCTACCCTGTTCCTCTAAAATTCTAGTTTGAGATTGTAAACCTATCTTGTTTAGTTTAATGTATACATCTATTTATCCAAAACAGCTAATGTGGCCAGGCACATGGGAGAAAATAATCCTCCCCTGATCTGGCTATGCTATCAAGGCCACTAGTGCAGGCACAACTATATGGTACGTTTACAGAAGAGAGCTGCTGCCAACTTAAAATCATTCCTTATTTGGGAAAATGATGTAGCCATGCGGGAGAGAAATCGATTGGCATGCACTGAGTTTCCACTAGCAGACTGTGGCAGCATACCAATAAATGGTACACATGATAACAACGCAGCAGTCAATGCCTGTTTACACAGAAGTGACTTCAGTAACTTCACTAATCACATCTTGCCCTCTGCTGTAGCAAATACTCAAAAAAGAGGTGATACAGACATGAGAAAAGGTGAGCTGGACTGGAAATGGAATAATCCTATGCATGCTGCATGCAAACCTATATAGGCTGGGAACCAACCGGCTGAGCAGCTCTCCTACTGAAAAGGCTAGTGTGCAAACTCCCTTTAAAATCGCATGAAGACCACGGTTTAACTTATTTGTTTGTATTAGAGGTGAACAAACAGAAACTGGGCCTGACTGTATGTCACATAAATCATCTCTGGTCCATGGTGTTACAATTCCTCTTCCCTTGCTCTGAGAAGCCACTTTTGTTTACTCCTAACCAAGCCAAATCAGCCATTTATATGTGCCAAAAGCTGGACATGACACAAACCCCTAATACAGCCTGCAGAGCTCACCACTGCTGTAAGACAGATACTATTATTTGAAGTGCACATGATTCTCTTTCAATAACACTGAAAACAAGTCTGCCAAACTGTTCCAAGTGATTTTTCTGCCATGTATTTTCCATAATTGCACCTACTGCAGAAGACTGTTCTGCAACCATGCATGCACAAAACACATCTAGAGCATGAGATTCTCTAAGCTTTTGCCTTTTAGCAATTTAGCAAGATACCATGACCTCTCAATAAAAAGTTATAGTCAAACAGTCCACGTGATTCTTGAATGTCAGGGGACTCATTATACCACCTGTGAAACTCTGCTTCTATCACCTCAACAACTGTGTCAGGCCCTGGATCAAATCCTAAGTGCAAATGCCACTCACCCCTCTGTATTCCTATTGCATGTGGCTGATTCAGCCCTTGAAAGCACATCCAACTGAGAAGTCCCTGTCTCACAACATTACTATCTGATGTGTGACACCAAACCCACATGAATGTACACAATGAGCATATATGCCATGTAATACTTTATTCCTGGGTTAGTACCTTGTTGTCCAATGCTGTAATCTCCTGTTGGTTAGCTGTTGAGAGAAGAAAACTGCTCATCTGTCCCTTTAATGGGTCTTCAACTTCTACATCTATGTCATAACAAGCCGTCTTCTTCTGATCGTTGGGGTCAACACTATGGAGAATATAACAGAAGATCACAAGAACTGCCATAACGAATCAGAACAAATATCCATCCAGCCCAGAACACACTCTTTGATAAAGCCAGTTGCAGACACTGTGAGAAGAGTTTAAGAACAGAGTATCTTTATATATTTGTATATTCTAGCATACGCGCTCATCTTTCATCAGTCAGAATTCAGAGAATTTTGAGCTGGAGCTTTTGTCCAGACCACCAACTTTAACAGCTACTAATGGACATAGTCTTCATTAAACTAACATCTTCCTGAGACCTGTTGTAACTCTGGCCTCCAAAGCAATCCTCAATGGTAAATACCGTACTGCTATGGTCTCTGCTCAACTGCATTTTTTTTGAGATTGGGTAAGTAGAACTGTACACTACCATTCTGGATGTGAGCACATAATGACATTTTATTTGGTTCTCGATTCCTTCTCTAATAATTCCTAGCACTGTAATTGTTTTGGCAGCTATGAAGCACTGTAATGATTCCCAGTTACTTCTTAAGAGGTAGCAGTGAATTTAGGGACCACCACTTTGTAAAGTTGCCCGACTAATTCTTCAAAGAATATAGCCAGTCATACCTTCCTGTTACATAAGCTATATTGACTTTTCCCCAATATATCACGTCTATTAACTCCATTCTCTACTAAAGTTAGTACCAATTGGCTTCCAATATCCAGGATTGATCCTGGTACATTTTTGGCAGCACGTTAATTATTTACCACCGCTCTGGTACTGAAGGAGATATCAGTAACAGGTAACACATTTTATAAAATCATAAAATCACAGAATTATTTAGGTTGGAAAGGACCTTTAAGATCATTGAGTCCAACCATAAACCTAGCACTGCCAAGTTCACCACTAAACCATGTCCCTAAGCCCCACATCTACATGTCTTTTAAATACCTCCAGGGATGGTGACTCTACCACTTCCCTGGGCAGACGGTTCCAATGATTGACAACCCTTTCGGGGAAGAAATTCTTCCTAATATCCAATTTAACCCCCCTAATGCAAGATGAGGCCACTTCCTCTCATACTATCACTTGTTACTTGG